TGTATGTCAAAGCTGATGTTAGAAATCACGTCAAAAACAACGTGCGCATATGGGGAATACACACACAATAAAGCCACTACTTGGTTCGTCAGAAAAATCACATAAAACATGCCGTCAAAACAAGTCCCACCAAGTATTGGGACTGAAAAGTGATTTTTCTTTTACCATCTAGTAGCATCTTTTTAACATTCTTAATTATGTATTCTTCGCATCAAAACAAAACTAAAAAGTTCTATTCTTGGATTTGCTTCCCCAGTCATGGTGAATTTTCCATTGGAAAAATAAGTCAGATCACATCGAATCACCTGAAACAAAGCCAGGTATTGAACTAGCCATCCAAGTCCCTCATGGATCCCTGCGGTCCACCAACAGCATCATCTCAAGGATCTCCTTCACCCTGGTTACTCCACGGCATCCCTCCTAAGGTGACAGCTGGGCTTCTTCCCCTTGGGGAATATGATATTTTGATGAAACAAATTGTTGTGTCAAATTGGTTTTGAATAGAACTAGAAATAAAACAAATATAGGGAAAATTGATGGCCCATCTGTCCGTGCTCGGAGATTTTCAGGATGCATACAGGTTCTTTAGTGGACCAGATATATCTTTTCCAGACGAATGACACATATTGAAAGAAAACTCAACTTTACAAAAAATAATGCATGTCCTGAAACGATGCAGGAATAGCAAAGAACACAGACTGCACAAAAAAATACTTTACTTCGAGTCATCCCCACCATGACATTTATACGTTTATCTACTGGCAAATCTTCGGGCATTCTATCTGACATATTTTCTGGCATTCGATCTGGTATATCTTCTGGCATTCTACCTGGCATATCTTCTGGCATATGTTCTGGCATATCTTCTGGCATTCTATCTGGCATTCTATCTGGCATATCTTCTGGCATATCTTCTGACATTCTATCTGGCATTCTATCTGGCAAATCTTCTGGCATTCTATCTGGCAAACATTCTGGCACTTTATCTGGCATACCTTCTGGCATTCTATCTGACACTCTATCTGGCATACATTCTGGCTTTCTATCTGGCATATGTGGCATTTTATCTGGCGTATCTTCTGGCATTCTATCTGGCATATCTTCTGGCATTCTACCTGGCATATCTTCTGGCATATGTTCTGGCATATCTTCTGGCACTCTATTTGGCATATCTTCTGGCATATCTTGTGACATTCTATCTGGCAAATCTTCTGGCGTTCTATCTATCTGGCAAACATTCTGGCACTTTATCTGGCATACCTTCTGGCATTCTATCTGACATTCTATCTGGCATACATTCTGGCATTCTATCTGGCAAACATTCTGGCACTTTATCTGGCATACCTTCTGGCATTCTATCTGGCATATCTTCTAGCATTCTATCTGGCATATCTTCTGGCATTTTATCTGGCCGTTGAGGTCCAGCGGTGCTCACTGAGCTCGGAAGGTCGGAAGGTCCCAGGTTGAGGTCCAGCGGTGCTCACTGAACTCGGCAGGTCCCAGGATGAGGGCCAGCGGTGCCCACTGCGCTCAGACCCTTGCAGTTGAGGTCCAGCAGTGCCCACTGCGTGCGGAAGTTGGCAAAGAGTTTGGCGAAGAGTTGGCAAGGCGGAAGTGGACATGGAAGTGGCAGAAGTGGACCTGGAAGTGGATGCAGAGGTGGTGGAGGAGAAGGAGGAGAAGTAGAAGGAGAAGGAGAAGAAGGAGAACAACTCTGATAAAATCTAACAACCCTCACCTGGCAGGTGGGGAAAAATCTGACCAGAGGATGCAACATCCGAGCCACAGGCTGCCAAATAGTGGAGACCGAGCTTTCTGAAATGGCTCCCTTGGTGCCTCCCCTCAGTGAATTCCAACGGCAGAAATCAACACATGGCAAGTAGAAGTCCGGCATAGGAAACTCATCTGCAACTCGTTGGGGTTTATGATTTTTTGTTGCGGTGCTTGATTACCATACGATAACCGTCGGATAACCAAATGATCACATGGGTACCTGGCAATCCACAAATGAAACATGGGGAGGACGGAGGACGACAATACCGTCAAGAATCTGAACAATGCAAGTCAGAAATGCATACCCAGCCTGGACATGGGAAGTTCCTATTTCCAAATAATCTGAGCCATGGCCGGCGTGAAATCATATTGAAAACATTTGAAAACACCAAACACGCGTGAAATCAACAAGTCTTGGTTAAAATAAGCACAATATCGATAGGTTGCTTCAAAAAAAACAGCACAAGATCAATAGGTTGCCTTAATCACCCATCCAATAAACATGAGCCAACTTGATGATTAAACCAAATATGACAGGCATGGTTTTAAAAAAAAAGTCATCAGCCTATAATCCCTTACCCATATCATCCACGGGTTGACTGGACTGATTTTGTGTGGTGTGAACATGTTAGGACCATCTCTCTCCATCGCCATCTCGTCCAGTGAGATGTTAGGACCGTATGGCCTTTTGTTCCATTGCAGGAGGTCAGTTTTCCATGCTTCCCTACTACTGCCAGCAAACATGAGAAAATATTGCAGGACTCTAGCCATCGTCATCCACAATTGCAGATTTCTGTTGCACAAGTTCACCCTTAACATGGAAGCCAAAGATTGCCAAATCAAAGTATGTAATTACACATGGCAACACTAACAAACAAACATGCAGAACGTTAAAAAACAACATCAACAAACAGAAAGCAAACAACGCATGCAATGGATTGCCAAGGCACACCGGTGTGTCCAGAACTGGGGCATACCCTACGAAACGATATCTCTCTCTCTCTCTCTCTCTCCCTCTCTCTCTCTCTCTCTCTTGCGATCGCCAGCCAGCGACTTCACCAGCCCAAACGTGGGGCAATTGGGACAATTCGGTGACTTTCGGGTGAAATTTGATGCTGGCCGTCCCGTAAACACCAGTTTCCTCATAAAAGCCAAGTTTCCTCAGGTCTCCATGACCGAGCCGTTCGCTGTGGCTGGGGCTAGGCTCAACCGCGGCTTCAAAGGACTCCATCACCGGCGACCTCGGGGATGAGATCGCCGCCAAATCGTTGGTTCAAAACTGGGGGGGCTTAAGCAGCTCAACAAACATCAGTGTTAAACTCTGTTAAACCATCAAGATTTCTTTTTTCAACCAATGAAAGTTCGTTGGCACGAGTTCAACCAATGTTAGGTCAACAAAAATTGACGCTTCAACGTGTTTCAACCATGAATATTGTTGAATAAGGGAAATGGTTTGGTCTCAAAATGGGTGATACTTAAATAACCCAATTGACAGCAGTGGGGAAAATGTTGCTCAATGGGATCCAGGGTAGATGGTGGTAGTAAGATTGGTAAGCTCCTTTCATAGGGGAATCTTTAAAAAAATCTCGTTCTGAAACCATGCAATCGGCGATCACTTGACTGGTGATTCTAAGGATTCTCCTGGAAATCCCCACGCGGTTTGAGGATTGGAATTGGGGCAGAGAACCAGAAGAGTAGGGATCAAAAAACAGAAATGTTGACATAACATGTGTGTATGTGGGTGTAAATATATATATATATAATTATATATATATATATACGTACATGATCGTACATGTGTCTGCATGATGGGTTGGGTAACATCTGGGGTTGAGATGGATATCTCCCTAGACCTACCTTGTTTGAGACCAAGATGTTCAGAATTCTGACATCCCATCCATTCCCTACATTAAGGCCGATGACATGGTCCGGGGGCTATCAAATCCTACGGTGGAAGAAATCCTGCACCAGTTGATAGATGGTTTATCCCATTGTTTATAGGCTTTCAACCATCCTTTTGGTGGCGCAGGATTTCGCAACCATCCACCGTATGAAACTCAAATCTCAGTCAAGCGGCTCCGAATCCTCTCTCACTGCAAGCCTGAGTGGCACCCCAGGCCACCATCCAGACCACCAGTCAGCTGCAAAGGGCGGCACTTACAGCGTTTCAGCGGTCAATTGGAAATTCTACAGGAACCCCAGGAACCCCCTATATTTCATGGGAAAATCCATGGTTTCCTCTTAAACCAACCCAGTGAATAACAGGCTTGATTGGCAATGAATAAAAATCGCCCTGAAAACTCGGTTGTTGAGCCGTCCATCACACCATGGAGTCGTTTATGATGACCACCACAGAGACAGGATGGAACCTGCAAACACAGTTCAAACATATTCAAAATGTAGACTTGCTGCAGTAAATTTCGAGAAGACTTGTCATTGCTGCGGGAACCACCGCATGCTCACCACACTTAAAAAAAGTGTTGCAGCCAAGCAGGACTAAGACTAAGGTTGATGGTTTCAATTGGATTCAATTGGGACCACCATGGCAAAGAAAACTAAAGCCAGAATCCAGGCACCTATCAAACCAGTATTGGACATATAGGAAAATACCAAGTATGCATGTATAGAATTGTATATATATACATAAATACATATATATATAAACAATATTATGCAGTGATAGTGAATCAACACACACACACATATATATATATAAGCATACATAAGCCATAAGCCAACATGTGGATACATATCGTTTCTGTAATGTATTTTTCCAATACGGTGATTCTCAAACCAACCATAAAATAATCAAAAACAACAACAACAACAACAACAACAACAACCAACAACAACAACAACAACCACCAACAACCAACAACCAACAACCAACAACCAACAACCAACCACCAACCACCAACCACCAACCACCAACCAACAACCAACAACCAACAACCAACAACCAACAACCAACAACCAACAACCAACAACCAACAACCAACAACCACAACAACAACAACAACACCAACACCAACAGCAACAGTGTTTTCAAATATATATATATATACATATTAAAAGATACATACACATATATATATAGATAACTAAATCATATACATATATATATATATATAAATAACTAAATCATATACACACACACATATATATATATAAATCTCTACATGTATTTAGAGTGTCTTTATAGATCCATCATATACCCACTTCACATCTCACGCCCAGGGACAGGTGGTACGGCTCTCCCAAGGGCTGCGGGACCACCACATGGAAGAGGTGCGCTGACCTCGTGGCCACCGATGTCCGCGACGTGGCCCTGGTGGCGAAGGAGACGCGGATGCAGGATGCCGCCTGCCTCGGGAGATGATTGGTTTCCATCATGGAACATCCTACCCTCTGGTAAACTAACATAACTATGGAAAATCACCATTTTTAATGGGAAAACTCACTATAAATGGCAATTTTCAATAGCTATGTTAAATTGCCAGAGGGTAATGGCTTATGACTGTTTATGGTGTACAAAAAAGGTCTAATATCCTATTCAAAATAATATTTTGATGGATGTATAATGGGCGATTATTTGTAATGGAAACATGCATGATTCACAATGGATGATTTACAATGGATGGTTTATCATGGTGGTATACCCCAATTCACCAAACAAATGATGATTTCGGGGTACTCGCATTTTAGGAAACCTTCATATGATGGGATGATGTGATCTCATGGTGATTGATGGGTCGTGTAAAATGGTCATATGATTCCACAGCGTTTAATTTGTATTTCATGGGGATATGTGGGGATATATATACATATATATATATAATATATATGTATATATATATATGTATATATATAGTATGATACAATGGGATCTAATTGGCGATCAAATATCATAGGTGAACAATATTACAGGAAATTCAGGTTGGTTGGTTTGGAAAATCACAAAATCACCATCCAGGACCAATAGGTAAATCATCGAACTAAGCTACCGGAAGGTACCCCCAAGGTGATCAAAATAGCGTGAGAGAGCTCAAACATCTAGGTTTTGATGCACCCTCTGGTAATTTAACATAGCTATTGAAAATGACCATTTATAGTGGATTTACCCATTAAAAATGGTGATTTTCCATAGTTACGTTAGTTTACCAGAGGGTATTGGGAAGTATCGATCCACAAGGATCCATAGCAGCCAAGATACACATCCGTTGGGCTCTTGATGTCCTTGGCCGTCCTGCCACAGCGCAACAAAATGCCAGTCGGTCCACAAACGCGACGAGCGAAACTAAGTCTCTTATCATTTATTCGACAAGCAATACTTAACATGCCACAACGGAACCCATGAACTAAAGTGACTTCTGCCATCTGCCATTACCGTTGTCATCTTTATTTTTGCATTTTGGCGAGAACCTGTCCAACTTTTGGATGGAGTGAAAAAAAGCGAACAAGTAGACATCATCCATGCTGCGAACATCGGGGTCGATGTGTTTTGTCAGTGACCAGTGAGTCGCATCATTCTAGGCTTGCTGCATGTCCCACCATGTCCCACCCCTCAAAAAGTAGCAGCTCTTCAGGTAGTCTTCCTTTTTCTTTTATTCATAAAGTCCGCATTGTGGTTGGTTCAAACCAACACGCATATGATACAGTTAATGGTTCACGATACTTCAATCACCTTATCGTCAATGGCCATTCCAGGATCCTAAATTGGAGGTACCTACCATATATAAGGCCTATGTAAGGGGATATCCCCAGAAAATATGGCCTTATATGGTACAGTACCTCCATTTTAGGATCCTGAAATTCCCATTGATATCGTCATGAAATTCCAACTGTGCCCCTCGAACAGTACCATCCAGCAACGACTTTTTATTCTTGCCCCAAACAAAAAGGGTCCCATGGTGGTGAATTAATGTCTTTCCCGCGATGGCTCAATCCCTTTTATCCCAGGATCATCCAGGATCAATAAACCCCGGGTTGAACTTATTGGGGGGGCCGCAAAGAATAGTGATAACATTCACTGATCATAATACTCGGATATACTTGGTACATATCATCTGAAGGCTACATACGCAATGAGGACCACCGCAGCGCCCGGTCCTGGTTGACATCTCCACAAATTTCCGGAAGGTGTCCTGCATGACTCGTGCAGGAGTCAGGGGTGATTGGGTTGTTGATCCCAGGAGAATGTGATGGATTGATCATCGCTGCCCAAGCATGTTCTGGCATTAACATGTTTAGGCATTGTTTTTGGGGCCTGGGGCTATTGCGTTTCTATTTTCAGCACTTCGGAACAGTGTCTATCATATTTCTGCCGCAGTGAAGCCCAACGTTTCGAACCACGGTGTTGCTTCAAACAACGTTTCAGCCACGTGAAGCGTTTAGAAACTAGGCCAAAAATGCCAGATAGATTGTCCTAGATCAAATATGATACTATATGTCAAACAAGATGTCAAACAGAATGTATGCCACGGTGGGGATCGCATGGAGTAATGCTGTTTGATGGTGGATGTTGTCTTTCTTATATTTTTTTGTGAATTTACTTTCTTATCAATGTTTTTCTTTTTGTGTCCACAATGTTTGCAGCATAAGTCATATTCAAGGATGACATATCCTAATTACTATGCAAACAAAATCTACCTGTGTTTGGTGTTGTTGGATGTTGGATCGAGTTTTTCGGCGTTACTATTGGTCTGGTAAGTGGATATGTTAGCTCCAGAATTGTGCAAATACTCTGCGCTGTGCGTAAAACATAATTATGTCAGCAAAATATGTAGGTGAGTATCCATTCAGGAGGACAATGTCTTAATGTCCTTTTGGGATAATTACCTGTACTAAGTACTATACACTGCACATCTATGGTTTGTCTGGAGATAGGATGCCCCCAATCCACTGGTCAAACATCAGTTTCCCATACTTTCCCATCTGTTCCCCATTGTGAAGGGTATTTGGTAGGTGCCTCCACCATTTTTGGAGCCCAAATGCTACAACTCTCCAGCTCCCTCCGAGTAGCTCCTGTTGGTCGGCCAGGAGCTGAGTAAACTCCATCCCTGCAGTTTCTCGTCGCTCATCAACATGTGCTGCAGGCACTCCGGATTGCCTTCTTGGGAGCTTCAATCATAGACATGGATAGAATGAGATATGGCTGGTGTCAAATGCTTTCAACCCAACTAAATCAAATTAACACAGCTGTATTGTACTGATGGCTAATTTGTCAGATTGAGATCACCATCCTAGCTAGCATTGAACATTCAAAAGGTTTCAAAGGTATTTGAAACCAGCAACCTAATAGAATAAAACGGTAGTTGATTCAATTTAGTTCATCGAACTGCAGAATGCCGAAGCATTGTTGGCAGACATTGCTTGAAACAAAAGCATCGACACAACAATATGTTCAGATCCCACAGCACGGCTTGCAATAAACGCAAACCAAATATCAAATCATCCTAATCGAGGATCATCCAAGAAATTGTGGTCAATTTGAGTATGTTTCCTCATTGAAATTGGTCATGGTTTCAACCTGGCAACCTGGCTTTGCCAATCTTTTACATAGGTAATGAATGATGATTAGCCATGGTGCTTCTCTAGAGATCACCATCCAGCCTTGTATCTTCAGGTTGTGATCCAACAGGAACTCGCAATCGCAGACGCCGCGCAGCACGCGACGGAAGCTGCTCACCATCCATTCCGCATCAGCTGATTGGAGACAAGCCTGGCAAGTGGAAATTCTCTGTAAGTATTATGAATTACTATGGAGGTTTCCTAAAATGGGGATACCACAAAATCGATGGTTGATAATGGATATGTATGTTAGTATGTGAGAGTGTTAGTTCTATGTAAGTATGTACGTGTACGTCTTCATGTGTGCATGCAAGTATGTAGGTATGCATGTGAGACAATTTCCAAAAAATATTGAGTATCTTGTGAATGGGGGGGTGGGCCTCTATTGTGAGAAGTTTTTTCTCAGATCCATTTTTTTCAGGAGGAGCTTTATCCACCTTTATATACACCTTTCTTTGGGTAAAGCTGGTCCATTCACTTTAGAAAGCCATATCCATGTTAAAGCCTTGAAAATGCAAGGTTTCTCAAATAATTAGATGCCTTATTAAACCCTTATTCAGAAACAGCACCCAAACATCTTTTTAAGGGGGTACCCCCATGAGTGACCCAGATCCTCAATAATGTAATTGTTTCGATGGTACCCTATTGTGCACAATGACTTTTGGGGCATTTTTTTAAACTTAAACGGATCACCAATTGAAAGTAGATTGATGTAAATTGAAATCCTTACTTAAGTTGACTATCCTAAAAATTGTTGAGGGGGGGCCAGATAATGCCGAGTTATTGAGTAGCCTAAAATTGTTGAGGGGAGGGGGGGGGGCCCTACACGAATCAGTATCCAACATTACCCCTTAGATTCTACCATTTACACCCCTTATCTTTGGCAAATATACTGCCTAGATTCCACCATTTCATCCCTTATCTTGGCAAATATACTCCCCAAACTTTGCCATGACTACCCCTTTGAACGCACAAATTCATCATTTCTGTTCCCTTTATCATCTCTCTTAGTGCTTTGTTGATCACTAAAAGTTTCACTTTCAGAAATACATGGCTAGAATTGGCCGAGCGATGAATCCCCCTCACCTGCACGCGTGCTCGCATCATTACATCAATGATCAGGACAAAGGCTAAGAGGCACCTGCCATCTCGGGGGCAATGGCGGCAATGGGTTGGGGACATGGTGCGAAAATGGTTCAAAATAGAGGGACTTGACCATCAAAATGTGGATCCCTAGCACAAGATTAAACGTATTTCAAAGTTCTGCAGTATCGCAGCTTAAAAACACTTTAGTAACTGTAATATATTTCACTAGAAATCATAAATCATACTTTCTGATCCACATAAACTGTGGACATTTCCGGTCGATTTTCCCTTGCAACTGGGGAGGCTGAGGCTGGAACCCATATATTTCGCATTCTTCGGTCACTTGCACATATCCTTGGAACGAGGCTCGCGAGATTCCGCTTGGAAACAAAAATATGCGAATTCAGAACAAAATTGAACATGTGGGTTTTGTCTGAAAATGGGCTATGCCCCCAATTATATCAATTTTAAAGGACAATGGTGATTGACCATTGAACTTAGGGGTACCCTATTTTCAGACAAACCCGTGTAGCTGAAGAATTCGCTCTGGATAATGATGTTCTTATATGTTTTATTGAATTGAATACACGCTTAAATAGTGGGTTTCAGTTTGGTCGCATGTTTCCATCCTGGCACTAGTTCTACCTGGCCAGTCTGAATTTTCCCATCAAAAATGCGCCAAAAACAAATCTATTGTATATATGATACTGCAGTTTGCCCCACCAAGTTTAATCCTGACATTGCTGAAATAAAGACATTCGCCCTGGTCGAAACATGGTAAATGGTTCATAGCCATCCATCCAATAACGGGCATGCTTAAAATGGGTTTATAAGTTTGAATGATGACCATCCCCCATATGGTTGTAGGAACCATCTCCTGACTTTCGCACACATGAAAACAAATAAACAAAGTCATCTTTTGGTTCACCCCGCCAAGTTTCCAAGCTCCTTCCCATGATACCAAGAAGTGCCCAGAATCGTCAAGGAGAAGAAAAATTGGCAAACGACCTTCGAATCGCGTCCAGGTCGTCCAGTTTTCCGAGCAAATTGCGGATCAGTTTGATCCCATCTGATCCAAATTGTCTCAATATAATCTCAATACAGCGTGGATTCTTCACCATCTGTGGGTCACTTACTTTAAGCGGTTCTGCAGCATCATGCCCTTTTTCAGAAGGATATTTTCAGAGGGCGGCCACCGTGAAATTGACCCGGAACTTTGAAATTGACCCGGTAGCATGGCTATCGAAAACCATGTACACATGGATACAAATAGGCCCTTTTCCAAAGCCGTGTTATATTTCCAGATATCATATAGAAACATAAAATCTATACATTACATCATATGTCTCGTGACATTGGGTCTGAAGACCGCGCATTGTCCAAAATGACGGTTCAGTGTGTCCACTCTTCCGCTAGGAGTTAAAGGTCGGGTTTAGATCAAGGTGCTCCATCTGGCATCGTTTTTGACAATAAATTCTCGCACAAAAGTTCCCTTGTGAGATGTCCATGTGCATGTCGACCGCAGCGGCTCACACAGTTACCGAAAGTTTACTTTTACCGGCGCGGTGCTCTTTTTTTTGAGCTATGTCCATTTTTCGTGGCAGGTGTGGTACTTTAGGGACATTTTGAGGTCTGGAACGTCGTTTTGCTTGTGAGAAGATGTTGTGAAGATACTGATGAAAGTCATGCCAGAGGTCTTTGCATGATCTTGTGCAGGTCCTTATGAGAAGATCTTATCAAGATCCTGCTGACATCCTCTAAGATTCTCTAAGTGGTCCCTGCATGATCTTGCACAAGTCCTTGTAAGAAGATCTTGTGGAGACCGATCCGGCACGCACAATGTCGGGAGGTTGCGCCGGCGATTTAAAATTGGCACCGCGCCACAACGAGAGCGATCTGACACGCACAAAGTCACAAAAGGGTTTCGCGAGCACATGTTAGATTTTTACAAAACATTACGCGCGCAACGAAAGATGAACAATTAATAAATCAGGAATGTTTTGCCTATAGGTCTCAGCCACTTTTTTTTGGTCGAGGTCTACAAAGTACTGCGCGTGAGACGAAAAATGGTCCCTAGGCATCCGATGTGCTGCAACTGCAAAACGGTTCAGCACCATGTCAAAACCAAAAAATTACAACGAAAGAGGTCCTTGCAGGAAGATCTTGCAAATGCCATGTTTTAGAGGTGCCTCTATGAAAGCTCTTCTGGGATGCTCTTATGGGAGCTTTCCAGCAGCAGCAAAACAATCTTGTACAATTCCTTGTGGGAAGCTGTTGTGGAGATCCTGGTGGAATCCCCTAAGGGGTCCTTGCATGATCTCATTCGTACAGGTCCTTGTGAGAAGATCTTGTGGGGATCCTGCTGGAATCAGCCTCAAAAGTTTGACTCAACAGGTCGCCTTACATCAAGATATTGAAGATGCTCTGCATTGGTGCTTGTATGAAAAGTCTTCTGGGATGTTCATAGAAAGTTGCTCTTGTGAGATCCTCTATATTAAAGGTCCTTGTTTGGCGATCTTTTGAAATTCTTTCGATGTCCTGGTATGAGGTTCTGGTGTGAGGTCCTGATGCGTAGACATAGCTTTGCTTCTTGTGCCAAAGCAAATTCCTGCTGCTGCAGTTCCGATCATGTCAAATCTGATCTGTTACTGTTCCATAGCTACTGTTGCTTGTATCTGGTACATTGACTTCCTATAAATTGAAGCCACAGTGATCATAATTTTCTGGATTTTGGGGTGCCCAACGTGTTGGAGAAACCCACGTGTGCAAGAACAACAAAAAGCCACTTATGTCAGTGTGAAGTGTCTGAGAGTTCCGTGTCAATAAAAGCCATCACCAAGAAGAAACGTGTTGCCAGCAGATATTTCCTCAGTTGGCGACAACTGCGCTGCATGATAACCAAAAACTGTTGCAATTTATCTCCAAAGTGTCAAACAAAAACATCCTATATGTTGAGATGGGTTACTTACAGCACTAGATGATCTAGATGGGCTTTCCCGTTTTCCTATGCAAAATGCTGGAAAGAGTGTGGTTTCCTCTAATTACATTCTTTTCTTGAAGGGTCTCCAACATGATTTCGACAACACCTGAGATGTTCACATCAAAATTATAAACTGTAGCCGGCACCGTCGAATGATTGGCGCGCAACTTACCCACAAATTGCGTTCTTGCGTCGTGTGTAGCAACAAACAAACCGATAGAATCAGATAGAGCGGTTAGACACCTGGGACACATTTCAGGAAATATAATGACATCTGTTGACATATCATCTATAACATCCCGGAAACACCTTACTATAATATATATATATATCTTTGGGAACGCCACTTGAAACAAATACATTACTTCGAGTGATCTCCACCCTGACATATTGTTCTTCTGACATTCTATCTGACATTCTATCTGGCATACGTATATTCTGACAGACTTTCTCACATTCTTACCGGCATTCTAGCTGACATTCTATCTAGCATTCTATCTGACGTATATTCTGACATTCTATCGGGCATATTTTCTGGCATTCTACCTGGAATCTATTCTGACATGCCTTCTTCTTTCCGGCATTCTATCTGACATTCTATCTACAGTAGCATTCTATCTTTCTGACATTACAGCACAGCCAACAGCATCCGTAGCTGGCGATGTGGAGTTCGGGTCCAGGCGTGACCCGCTGCACTGGAACTGGCAGAGGAGATCAAGACAACAGAGAGGCGGAGGAGGTGAAGGGGGGAGGAGTTGCACCTTGGTTAAAATCTAGAGAGCCTCACCTGGCAGGTGGGGAAAAACATATCCCATCACCGATTCCAACGCCACCGGGTGTCTCCGAGATGGTCACAGCGCGGTTGGGAAAAGGCGGGCCATCCTGCAGCGCAGTGGCCAGAAAGTAACCCGCTGCATAGGCCAAGTACACCACAGCAGACAACACGCGAACCTGGAGAAAGTTGTGTTGTTGCTGCAGCCGCTGTCACCGGCTAGTGCTTTTGATGTTTTTTGGCACCAAATTTTAGAGGTAATGGACTGAATATATGTCGAGAAGCTGGAAATTGGAGGGTTCTGATCAGTAAGCACTGATATTTCAAACATAGGGCCTGATTTTATACAGGTACTAGATATAACCTCCGGCAGGGCCCAGGGAAGGTATATAATTCATGGCCACGCCGCAAAGTCTTGAGATATTTAGTGTGCCAAAATTCAGGGATCTCATTTGGCTTTGATTGGCCAGTCTACCAACAGATTTACAGTCTACAGTAAGTACATCTTGGTTCAAGAGAGGGCTACTGGTTTCCTGACAAAGATCTACCCTGGTGGCCAAAAAGACATGAAAAAGAACATGAATGAACCAATGCCCGACAAACACGAGAAACAGCAACGAAAGGGAAACCCAAATAAAACGCAAAGAAACAAAGAGGAAAGGTAAAGGCAAAAAACGCAAACATCACTTCTTTCAACTCAAGTTTCCTTGTTTTGTCCTTTTCTTCCTGTTTTCTGATTCTTTGTTCCATACCTATCCCCTGTTTGACCAATGTCTTTTGCAATGGTCACTGTGTTTTATATTGTTTTGTTTCTGTGTCATTGCTCCGTTTTCTATTGAAGCATGCCGTGCCCGTCTTTTTCCCAATATTTTGTTCCATTTCCCAGTTGAAGCTTTGAACAAGAAAGGGAGCACGTAGCTTGGGCCTGGAAAATAGATGGACAAAATAAAACCTTGTCAGTATATAGATCTCCCGGCAAATGCATGGTAGCTGAGTGTTTCTGCATGTTTCTGCGCCGGAAAATCCATCATCACTTCACCAAATGAAGGATATATCGCAGTTCATCAGTTTGCCTGTCTCTATTCCAGATTTTTCCATGCGATGACAAGGAGCTTGTCGCGACGTTGGTTGGATGTAGCGGTTGACCACCAACAAATGCTGCATGTAGAGGCCAAGGTGAATCACCATCAAGGCACCGGTCCTGAAAAGTGGGGGACCGGTGGATTTCCGGTGGCAAATCTGGAAGAACCGGAGGACATGTCCAAAACATATATCGACATATTCTATTACACAAGTTTTTTTCTATAGCCATTTGGGATCAAAATCAATTACTTTTATATGCAAGATAATGCAAGATAGATTGGGTGGATGACCAAATGAAACCATGAAACAGATCGGAGAAAAACACTGCCATTGCCGCTTAGCATCGTGAGCTGCGGGCTGTGCACAAAACCCACCACCACCCACATAGTTTTCCATGCTGCCAGATGAACAAAAATGTGCGAGAAAAGGATGTAGTTGGACCTTCCGCCACTGCTCTGAGGGTTTCTTTTTTGTGCTTAGACAAAACTGCAAAAGGCATCAACAGTTTTATATGTGGATGTACGTACGTACGATATTTGGGAGTGAACATGGTTCATTAAACTGGAGTACACCCAGTTTCCAGACCCTCCAGTGATGCTCAGATCTTGTTCATGTTCACACCCAACCGTTCCATTGATTTTCTGGCAAGTTGTTTCTTTACTTTTCAGGAAAGTGTCATATGGATCCTGCGTTGAAACGGAAAATCTTGGCTTTAAGACTAAGTTACCCCCTGGTAATATAACATAGCTATTGAACATCACCATTTTTCGTGGGTAAATCCACTATTTCTATGGCCATTTTCAATAGCAAACTGTTAGCTTACCAGAGGGTATGTTTTTTTTTTTGCCATCTACAGGGTCAGTCACCTACGTCGCGCCATGCGGCCATGCCCCATCGGAAGTTCAAACCATTGAGCCCACAGCCATTGGGAACTGTTGGGTTTCCAGAAATGGGGGTATCCCCAAATGGATGATTTTTTTCATGGAAATTCCATTCAAATGGATGAGAACTGGGGGTACCCCTATTTCAGGAAACTTCCATATTTCAAGATGTTGAAATCACCATTAACTCGCTTCAGCCGACACTCTCAAGGTCGCTGTGTTCTTCTGAATGCGTTCCTTCTGCGCTGCTTCTTCTGCTGTAAGCTGGGAGAAGAAACCTCCCAGCTGCTGTAGCCATTGGAAATTCACGTCCTCAGCGCATCTCGCTGCGCCGAAGTCCGAAGAAAAATGACCAACGTTCACCAGGACCGCACGCCACATGACACCACCAAAGACATCCAAATACGCTATGTATCTACACAGTGCATACATATATATATATATATACATATATATATATATATAAATAAATAAATAATACATATATATATATATATATACATGCCCTCCAGTAATTTAGAATAGACATGACTAGACCCTGCATGATCCTGCCAGATAGGGGCTGGAAGATTACTTTGCAAAACATGTTATTTTCAGGGTCTATGTTAATTGACCAGTATATATATATATATATATATATGGGTGCAGAATTGTTTTTGGAATTATTTTTTTTTACAGTTTTGGATTTTTTTTTTGGTTTCGTGCCTCTTCAATTTTTCCATTGTTTTCTTCAATTTTTCCATGGTTTTCTCCAAATTTTCCCTGGTTTTCTTCAATTTTTCCATGGTTTTCTTCAATTTTTCCATGGTTTTCTGCAAGTTTTCCATGGATTTCTTCAATTTTCCATGTTTTTCTTCAATTTTTCCATGGTTTTCTTCATTTTTTTCCATAGTTTTCTTCAATTTTTCCATTGTTTTCTTCAATTTTTCCCTGGTTTTCTTCAATTTTCCATGGTTTTCCATGGTTTTCTGCAAGTTTTCCATGGTTTTCTTCAATTTTTCCATGGTTTTCTTCAATGTTTCCCTGGTTTTCTTCAATTTTTCCATGGTTTTCTGCAAGTTTTCTATGGTTTTCTTCAATCAATCAATATATATATATATATGTGTGTGTGTGTGTATGTGTGTATGTATGTATGTAGGTAGGTAGGTAGGTATGTATGTATGCATGTATGTATATGCAGGGTGTGGTTTAGGGTTTAGGGATACAACATGTAGGTATAATTACATGATTATTTGTAGTTTATTTTGGGATCAAAGCTGTGTACAAAAACAACCACAAATATGTCATATATATATATATATGTATACGTCTGTATATCTATAAGTAAATATGTATGTGTATTTATAAATAAACAAACAAATATATATATATATATATCTATATTTATAAATATACTTATAGATACATAATTACATAAGTATATACACATTGATATGTATATACATTATACATATTAATATGTATATATATATACATTTATATAAGTACACATATATATATATATATATAAATATAAGTGTCTATATAAATGCAACTATATACATATATATATATATATATATGTGTGTGTCTATATATATATGTCTAGATATATATATATATTTTTTACAAAAATATTAATATAGTCGAATCAAACTAGTGTATTGAAAAGTGTGCAAGTTTGAATTCAAATAATTTAAAAAACGGGAGGGAGGGGATTGGGAGGGAGGGCGCAGCGCCTCCCCCCAAAGCAGATTGGAAACACCTATTTTACATGCAAGGTGCTGGGTTGAATGTGATACTGAAGGTGTATAGACTACACGACATGCACCCTGGAAACATGTGGAATACAGTATATATACTTATAGATACATACTTATATTTATATATATATATATGCATTTATATGTATATACATACGGTATGAATGTATTTATATATAAGTACATAAAATATATATATTAATATGTAAATATAAATATATAAATATAAATACAAAAATATAAATATATAAATAAAAATATATCAATAGAAATATTTAAATATAAATATATATAAATATAAATATATAAATATAAATATATAAGTGTATATATACATGCATTAAAAAAAATATGTGTATATATTTACATATATATATATGTTTATCTTCATATATATATATATTTGAATTTGAACATAAATAATAATATGTATATTTAAAAAAAATAAATAGAAAATATAAATAATATAAATATATTGAGATAAAAATATATAAGTGTGTATATAAACACACATATATATATATATTCATATTTATATATATATTCATAAATATATATATATATATTTATATATATAGATTTTGATTTAAACATAAATATTAATATAGTCGATTCAAACTAGTGTATTGAAACGTGTGCAAGTTTGACATACGAAAAATACCACCAAAAGCCATGGAAAGCAAGCCAAAAGCCAAAAGCAAACAAACAAAAAAGCAACAAAGGCAAAAATAACAAAAAGCAAAAAAACAAAAAGGAAACAAGCAAAAAAGCAAAAAAGCAAACAAGCAAAAAAGCAAAAAAGCAAAAACACAAAAAATCAAAAAAAGCAAAAAGCAAAAAAGCACAAAAGCAAACAAGCAAAAAAGCAAACAAGCAAAAAAGCAAAAAAAAACAAAAACACAAAAAAACAAAAAAAGCAAACACGCAAAAAAAGCAAAAAAAACAAAAAAGCAAAAAAAAGAAAAAATGAGAAAGCAAGATAAAACAAGAAATCAAAAAAAAATCCAAAAACGTAAACAAAAAAAAACAAAAAAATAGGCCTCCTACATATATATATATATACCAAGTCAATGACCTCGTAAAACTTGGCTTTTTAATTTTGATGATTAGGACCTACTATTATTTGATAGGGACCTACTTTTACTATCTTTTACTTGGACCTTGTGGGTGGCATGGTGTTTTCAATCAGCTTCGATCAATTTGTTTGATTGGTTTTTGTCAGTATTTTGATGGCTCTGAGTTGTATTATGAAGTCATGTCTGGTGATTTATGATATATCATGTGTATATGATTATATATGACAGCTTTACATGCGGGCAATTTTCCCCAATAATCCTGCAGGAATTAATATAAATTTCAGGATAAGTACTTCCCTTTACCTACCAAATATCCGATTTGTGGTTTATTATTGGGTACCCCGCACTATTTTATTATTGAAAATCCAGGGCCGGAACCACCACGAACGCATGGCATATGAACTGTCAGGGGCTGGCAAAAGACCTACTATTACCGTGAGCCGAGCGTGAACCGAGCGTGAAACCTTAGGAACCATGTTTTTAAGTTTGGAAATTTACGCAAAAAAAACACAACATTTTTTGAGGGAAACCGCCACGAATTTGCTTTGCAAAAGCTCCGGAATGTCAGTCTTAGATGTCTTAGTGGCTTTTCATTGCAAATTGGAAAGGCCCATTAGGGGCTCTGATCTGAAGGTGATTGAAAAAATTGTTGCTTTCCAATGATGCAGCAACAGTTTCAAATGGGGTTCAAGGCAAATTCAGCATTGAATCGATATAGTTTTCGGTCGTCATTTGTGGCTCTGATACCATAAAAAATTGGGGGCGCATGGGGGTGCAATGACGACCAATGTGGAAAAAACTTGGCGACGATGAACGTGAGGAGAAAAAGGGCTGAGCTCTATCGAACCGAGGTAAACCAAAGGTCCTCGTAAAACTTGGTCTTTAGCCAAAGACCTCGTTAAACTTGATCTTCGGACTTGCAGATACTGACAATCATGTTATGACTGTGTAACCGCAGTGTGTGCAAAAAAACAGCTTGAGCGAAGTGCAACCGCACTGCGCTGCAAGTGTCCCACCCGCGAGAGGCCAGCATATTGCCGATCATTCAACACATGGAGAAGTTGAACTGCCACTTGAACATCGTATGATCATGTATATATTAATATGTATTACTGCACTACTATATGTATATATATATATAAATATGTATATATGTGTGCAAGCAACTCGTTGTTTGATGTTTTTCTGCACGTGATACTTGAGAAGCATCGACATTTGCACTTTAATCATCAAACCCACCCTGGACTTACTTTAGGGGCCTCAAACTCAAAACCTGCAGGGATATGGCAGCTATGTCGATGCTTGACATAGGCTATGTCAAGCATCTGTGCCGCTCACTTTCCAATGGAAGGCTCCGAAAGCCACCAAGCCCAGGAATTCAGTTGCCATGCTTCGGATTTGTTGGCGGCCGTGCGATTCAAACTTGAACCAATTGGGCCGATAAGGCCGGTAAATGCCCAACGCAAATCAATCCTGGCTGGCAATGGACAATCCTCAATTTCAATACGACCATCATCCGCAAGACATCCATCGGAAAATAATCCGCATATTTGATATTAAAAACATATATACTCTTTTATTTTATGATATTTTGAATTGATATATGTTGTGACGATTTTCAAGCGGCGATTTTTCGAAACAACATAAGCACGAATCAGCCGGTGGGCACTGTGCCATTGTCCCTTCGAAACCCGGGCGTTGGGTCCAACGGCAAACATGTTGGAAAAGGAGTAGTCAATGCAATCTGAAATAAAAAAACACACATCATTTGCTTAAACTGGTAAAAAATCATACGAGTCTAATCTCAAAGGTAGCATTCTGTGGCGATGATATGTGTTTTGCTCTAATAGTTGACGACTGGATCGCCGTCAAAACAGGTGCACCAAAGTGCACCAAATTCATCCGGCTCAAAGCATCAGTCTTCCGGCTCTTGCAGGGAGGGGCCATGAATCAACCAAAATAGAAGACTGATAGGGATAAGCATAACATAGCATAACTATCGGACTCTTCTATCTTGCTGGTCATTGCTTAATCAATCAAAATAGATAGATCGATTCAGAAAGGGATCGCTTTGATCCAATGATTTTTGTTACCAGTTCCATCCAGTCGGATTGCACTGCTTTGTCGATAAGTATTCCATGAATTCACAGAACCGAAATACCGTTGGTACAGCAAGTATTGGAACAAGAAAGTTCCAAGATCTACAAGAACACAAGGCAGTCAACCTGCGAACGATAGAAACAACTGATGGCGCGCTCCAATGTGCTCCTTCTATGATCCTTGCTTTGAAACAAAAACGTATATTTTCCCAGTGGTGCCTCTTGCATGCTCAGTTTTTTACCTGTTTCATGTGCACGGGTATGATAGGGTATACCAATACATAATACCGTAATACCATATCAATACATATCAACACATATCAATACATATCAATACATATCAATACATATCAATACATATCAATACATATCAATACCATACAACTCATGTCTGGCATATTGCTCGGCCGTTGGGTCACTTATTTTTGGGCACCGCATGTCTACTGTGGTTCACATTAATGACAGCCGCAGAGATAACTTCTTTTTTGACACCAAAGGTGGCGGTCTGCGCTGTCTGCGCTCGTTGTATACTTCAAATGTCTCAACCATCGAGCATACACTTGCATTCAGAGCAGTTTGCGCGGAAGTATAAAGGGCTCAGCCTCGAGAGTTTTCAGCGAACCCGCAGAGGCCATGAAACAATGGGGGAAGTGAGGTTTGAATCAATGGCATGGCAAGGGCATTCGGTTTTCAAACAAATCTTGGCAAAGGTAATAAAGCATTTGGCTGTGGTTCAAAAACCTGGCATCCCGCAATTCACATACACATGGCTGGTAGCTGGCAGGTATGTATAACTATAATTAACTATATACGTGTATATGATTTTCCAAGTAAAACCTCCATTTAGTACTTAGTTCCAACATTTTTCAGCCAGCCACGTTTGATGACACCGGAGGGTATACTTGAATCGGTGGCCAATTTGGGATAGCTAGTTGTACCCCTTACATTCACCGTCCTTCCAGGAATGCGCGTCTCGGTCCTTTTAGAGTCCCACTGAAGCTGATCAAAGTAAAAAAACATCTTCAAGCTGTCTCAAGCTGTCCGTAAACACATGTATATCATCACCACCGTGTTACTAAAAATTGTTGGGGGGGCAGAAAATGTCGATTTACTAAGTAGCCTAAAATTGTTGAGGGGGGGGGCCACATTAATCAGTAGCCAACATTACCTTCTAATTCCATATAATTACATAATTACCACGTGTCCAACTTTGTTTTTGGGGCTGCCCAAACAACCCATCTCATTTGCCCTCTGGCCCACCGGGGCTGTCCTTAGCTTGCTGTTCGTTCCTGAATAGACGCAGCCCTTCTCGTTCAACATGAAGCAGTGGCGCCCGCCTGCCGAGCGGGGATGATATCTATCAATCTACAAGTGGGTTTACCATAAATGATTAATTGCCGGTTGGTGGTGCGATAACCATCTTGAAAAACGATGGAGTTCTTCAATGGGAAGGATGACAACCCATATATGAAATGGACAATAAAAGCCATGTTTGAAACCACCAACCAGATTGTCAATAGTGATGTTCGATATGATGGTAGGATTGATAACTATCCACAGGATCACAATATATCATAATAACGGTAAAACTATCCTACTATCCACTGAAGTGGCTTTACCATTCTCTCTCTCTCTCTCTGATTGTTGTTGATGAAGCGCCTGAACAATAGCAGTCCCCTTCCGAATCCGCGATCGGCAGGGCGGAATGCTCTGGACCTGGGTTTGTGACAATAGCGTGTCTCAAATCATTGATCGAAGCATATTTCAGGCATAAGTAAATCTCTCTCTCCAGAAACGTGGGTTTCTGGATGAAATTTAAGGTTTGCCTGTAATCTGTCCAATCATCCAAATCTAAGGAGTGCATGAATGGCGTATCTAGGCTCACATATCAGTCAAGGTATGCCTGGACATGGGCATAGGGGCATACCCACAATCAACAGCGAAAATGATGACCAACCAGTGTATTAGCGAAACCTCCATGCGAGCAGTGTTTACCGCCCAACCTGTCATCATAGTGATGGGTTTGAGTTAGTTCATAATAAAACTAATGACCTACACTAACGAAACAACAGGAGTTTTGGGCATGGTCTTCAAGCATCAACCCCAGCCCTCCACCCAACAAGAAACACATTGAAAAAATACACGTAGAAATAAACTAGCAAACAGATTTAGATCAAACATATGAACGCTGACGCATATGCAAGGATAATAAGCCGCACAAAAACACGACTCCCTTAATTCCCCAAGAGGCCCAAAAATGCACAGTACATTTTAGCTGGTTCCACTCCTGCAATTCACGATTCACAACAGTTGGCCTAACTTAGGAAATACCCGCTGGTAATCTAACATAATTAGCTATTGAAAATTGCCCATTTATAGTTGGTTTACCTATTAAAGATGGTGATTTTCCAGTTCGCTATGTAAACGTTTACCAGAGGGTAATAAATAAAATTACTGACATGCACTGGTACAGTTTGGGGGAAAGCCCCAGCAACCGTCCCCGGCAACCGTTCCGGTGTTTTCCAAATGTTCCAATACTCCTGGGGGTTGCCACCAGTCTGTGTTTAAGCCTACGAGCGAAATGCAGGGGGGGAAGGTCTCCAAAACCTCTTCCAGTCGTCCAGCAATGCGTTTGGAATGCGTTTTTCATATCTAAAATATATTTGTATATATGTATATATATAAATAAATATACAGACACACACCGAGAGAGAGAGAGAGAGAGACAGAGAGAGAGAGAGAGAGATATATATATATATAAAGAGAGAAAGAGAGAGAAAGTAAATTTTTGGGTAAAATTATGCTGGAAGTAGGTTGTTGTACTTTACATGGTTGTTTGTCCCCGGGTCCCTTAGGCTCGGGGGTAGTGATCGCAAAATAGTTGTTTTTCATAGGGATTACCAGAATGATGGGTTTGAAAATGTCCTATATTTCCCAAAATATAAAGGGCCGGTATGGTCTAGTGGATAGGACGCATCCCTCATGCGTCAGGCCCGGGTTCAATACCTGGGTGCAACACTAGGCGGACAGGCGGGCCACTACCCCACCCCTGCAGTTAAGGGGATGAGCTAGGGTGTGGTCCGTAAAACACTCACCATATGTCCCAATATATAAGTTTAAATCCCAGAAATCCCCATGACATTCTTTTTACCCTTGGTTGAATTGTAGATTATCACTACGAACTGGTAGGTAAATGAGCCATTTGACGTTCCATGCTATGTAGCTCAAGAATGCCCTCCGGTAAATTAACATTGCTACAGGATGGTGCCCCCCAATTTAAAGTTGGTTTATATCATTAACTATAGTTATATATGATTGTATATGTTATATTATGCTATATTTACATAAACCATAGGTAAGCCATGGCAAGCCATGATAATCCACTTATAAGGAACCTGAACGCTACTGGGGGCCCCATCCTGTATTGAAAAACTCTTCTTCGTGTGGGAGACCATGGGCCATGGCTTCAAGGCATGACACACTTCAGGGTTCCCTCCGGTTCGCTCTCTGGCTCGCTCTGCACGGTCCTCGGAGCCGGACATGTTGATCCGTTTTCTCCGGAATAGTCCCATTCCAGACTATCCATTTAAGATATGTATATTATTCACACATGGATGAAGCTATTTATACTAATACTATTCATACTTCTCGTACTATTCATTCGTTCTCATCTTGAATGTACATGTAGGTGTGTACAACACAGTACATGCAAACATACATAACAGCGAACCAGTTCTACAAACCCATCTCCACAATCTCTGGAGAGAATTTCAACTCAACATCCTTTCCCTTCACTTCAGGGATCACTACAGTAATGTGTATATAGTTGTGATTATAAAATCCTTACGGATTCATCAACCCCCACACAGCATGCTTGGGCAGTACTTTTTGGGTCGCCATCAACCGACAGAGGGGAACCACCCCATCAACCCCAGTCGTGGAGGATGCAGCTGCTCCCTGGATCCTAGAGATTTCCCATCGCTGAAATGTCCATTGAAATTTTCGCTATTTTTGAGAAGCGAAAACAAACGGTTCAATAAAATTCCAAGTGATGTTTATCCTTGCTAATCTTGAGATTTCTTTTCAAAAGAACATCAATTGAACGTTGATATTGATTCTCAAAGTTGATCGCTTAGGACTTCAACTAAGGAGGCCGTTTATGATGTTTATTTGGAGGGAAAAGCGTGGCAAAACCTTCTCCTACTAGGTACCTATATCTTCCCGGGTGTGGTAATTAATCACAACTTGACATTAGATGGACAAGTTTTTTCAAACCCCAGGTGGATGATCTATGTCAGTCCTCAGGGGTTTGATTGATTTCGTCCGTTCGTGCCCATGCTTTGGGCGGAGGGGGGTCCGGAGATGGAGGGGTTACGGTATGCACACAGCAGATTTCCAATGCACAAACTGAGGATTTGGTAGGCTTTATTGAGCATCGAAAATAATTTTTATGTTGTCTCCTTCAGTTTTGGCAGGGTCTTAAGCCCGTGTACACCATTCACGAAATACACCATGCTATCAGCATCTTAGCCTTCCGGTTTGGGCCCTTGCCATATCCTGCCATGAGCAGTCTAAGACTGACTCATCAGGGGCGGTATCAGCAAAGTTCAGTTAAAGCATCCCTGCCATTTGTCAAAGCGGCTTCTAGCCTTGCTGCTATTGGGGAACTCATTTGTCATTGCTGTTGGCTTGCCGTAAACTGTTTCCATTTTTGGATGACTCTTTCTCTCTTTCTTGTGCCGTAGGCGTGTTCACTACCCGGCGCTGTCTCTAAGTCTAAGGAATCAAAGTCTCTCACACCCGTAGGCACCCCTAATAAGCCAGCAACTCTCAGTACAGCTCGGGCAGCATGTAAACAACTAATATCGGACATAACCACTTTAGTAGCTAACTAGTAGCGAAGTCCAGGACAAGCCTGGTGACATTGCGTTTTCTATTTCCAGCATCTTTCAGAATGCATTGTTTCTAGCCGCATTTAAAATATAAGTCAGCTGTTCATTGGATTGCGAGAATTCAGTATTTGGACGAAGAAAGTCCCAAACAAAACTGAGTGAGGAGTCAAGCCATTTTCTTCTAGGCCTTCCCACGCATCGGAACATGACTTCAAAAGGAATGGCCGTATTTGGACGAAAACTCACGTTCCGCAAGGGGTGGCTATGATCTTGGCGCAAAATATGTCCAATCAAGGCAATTCTCATCAACTCTCTGGTGTTTGAAGGTTTCGCTTATTCTGCACACAGCATTATTTGGGCGATTTCGTGATCTAGTGGCCAAATTTGCCCTTCTGAGCACTTCATTATTGGTGTTCGCTCTATTCATGAAAGTGGTTTCCATGCGAAGGATCTGACGTAAACCTTTAAAATGGAAGGCTTCAAGACGCGACATTTGAGTGTCTGGGATCTCTAGTGTTTGGAGACCATCGAGGAGTCTAGATTTTACGACTGCATCGAAAATTCTGATTTTGCTCCCTGCTGAGCAATGGGCTTGTTTCCAAAAAATATGTAAACTCATCCAAGTACTTGTGGCTGCCGCAATTCGATTGGAGACTTCATTTGCAACTGAAACTTGGGAAGTCAGCGTACCGCCTAGCCACGTAACTTCATCGACTTGTGGGACAAAAGACCCGTCAACAAATTTGATTCTGTTGTTTCCATTTATAACGAGAACGCAACACTTGCTTTGGTTAAGTTTTAATCTATAGTACGCCGACTCACGCTCAATCGCGTGGAGAAGTTTGTTCATTCCCTTGGTGTTCTTTGTAACCAGAAGAGTGTCATCAGCATATAGGATCTCGGAAAAGTTGATACGACCAAGGCGACAGTTGCATATATCAGCATCAATTTCGTCATGGATATCCTCAAACATGACTGTCATCACCAGCACAAATAAATACGGCGAGAGCGGACATCCTTGGCGGATACCAGCTGCTTGTGTTTTCGAAGTTGAAACCGTTTGATCGTGAGTGACATAGAACTTCGGGCTCGAATAGAACCCAGCAATCACATTTCTCAATTTTACAGGGATATTCATTCTCTCCAGCGCTTCAATCATTCTAGGATGCGCCACTCGGTCAAATGCCTTTTCCCAGTCCAACAAAGTCAGAATAACTGTATCACCTGATTGTTCACTAATATCTTGAAGCCGTCTTGCAACATATAGGGCGTGCGTTGTACTCCTACTTTGTCTAAAACCGAACTGAGTACGACTTATCATTGGGTCCATGTAGGTCGCAAGCCTTTTTTGGATGATAGAAGCATACAATTTGTAGGCAATGTTAAGAAGGCTAATTGGTCGGTAATTCGAAATTTTCTGGGTATCACCTTTTTTGAAATCAGTCACCACTTGTGCAAATAGGTGCTCTTGCGGATTTTGTTCTTCGGTCCACCAGCGATTCAATAATGAAAGCAACAGTGTCCTATTGAAATTATCAAGAATTTTGAACAGTTCAGCGCATACGTTAGGGCCAGGGGCCTTATTTGCTTTCGCTTTGCGAATGACAAGATCCAGCTCACGCAAATCAACGGGTCCTATGTTGAAACCTAAATGATCTTGTGCAACATTTGGTCTGAACGCTTTCCTTGGTGGGAGGTCAGGTTCTTTCCATTGAACCTCTTGCAAATATTCTGCGATTGCTTCTGCGCGCCTACGAGGGCCCACTTGAAGCCCATCTTTGTCTTTCAGCTTCGTGAAGTTGGAAGAACGCTTCTTTTTTAAACGCTTTATAGCCGCCCATTGTTTTCTAGGGTCATTCGACTCCATCAAACTGTCAACAAGGAAACGCTGTTTGTCTTTTTTGACATTCTTTTTGATTTGGACAGTAAGGTCTTTTACTTTTTGGGCGTCGTGGGAAGCGTGGGCATCCTGCCTCTCTCCAATTAAGCTCCACGTGTGGTGTGAAAGATATCGTTTCCGCTGCGTCATGGAAATAGGAGTGAGGTTGGTTTTAGAGGCGTCGGTCATGGCTTCAAGAAAACCTGTATTAAAAGGCCAGCTTTTTGACTCAAAGCATTCTTGATTTGGCGGTTGCTGGTTAGCATGTGGGAAGCGAAATCTAACTGACTGGCAATCTCTTTTCTGGGTATGTTTAAACTTGACCCTTAGTTTTGCAAGAACTAGGTAGTGATCAGAACCTATGAACCAATCTGTATGCGATGTCACATCCAACACGGAGTTTTTCCAACGATAATTTGTGAGAAGAAAATATAACTGTGCAAATTTGTCTGGCGTCCATGGCGGAGCATGCGGCACTCCGGCTTCTCTGAAAGTCAACTGATTCTGCGGCGGTTTATCGAAAAAAGTGTTGGTGACACACAAATCGTTCTGGATGCAAAAGTCAATGAACTGAGAGCGATTCTCAGCAGTCGCTGCAGCCATGTGTTGGAGATATGTTAGTACTCTACCGTAAATGAAATTCCCCAGAATGCCCTGTTCTTCTGGCAGTTTCCCATGTAGTCTGGCATTAAAGTCTCCTGCAATAAACATAGGGTGGGCAGAAGGGAACGACCGAATGAAAGAGTCAGCCTTGGTATAGAAGGCCTGCTTAGTGGCTACGTCGCAACCGCTTTGAGGAGCGTAGTACATGTTGACAAAATGTATTGATGGAGAAGAGTTCGAGATAGTAACGGACATGATTCTACCGTCCACTTGTTCAAAATCAGTTACCGCTGCCATGAGAAATGGTGAAAGAACACAGCCAACACCACCATGTTCAGTATCTTCAGCTTGTTGACGATTGCCACGTCCAACATGAGCATTTTTTCCTTTGCCCCTACCTTTGTGCATTCCTGCCTGTGCTCTCCTGGTTTCTGCTGTTTTTCGCTGTTCATCTGTGACACTTGTTGAGTAAATGAACGTGTATCCATTGATTTGTTCATAGGAATTGGTATTAATGTGCGTTTCTTGGAGAAGGATAATGTCAATCTTGAGTCGCTTCGTTGCAAGAACCAGACTGCTTTTCTGAGCATCCGCATCTTCACCTTTTAGTCCTCTGCAGTTCAGTGAACCCATCCTGATGGGGGAGTTGTAAGCCCATTTTCCCAAAGGATCTTTGTGAGGGTGATGTCTGCCCTATTCTGCCCTTTCCAAAATCTTTAGCGAAAGTGTTGCTTTGTATCGGTGAAAACAGCTGCTACGGCCCGTTGCCTTAAACTTCAGGGTGTTGGCATGGTGCTGCGAGAGTTGCGCTTTAGGGGTTTCCTGAGCCAATGTATGTACACCCACCGGCTTGGATGACTCTTATCCCGGCAAATCATCAAATAATCACGGAAAACAATGTCGAGATTCAGCGTATCTGAGTCACTTAAGAAACTTAAGACTGGGTCAAAAAACTGGGGAAACGAGTTGCCAAACAAAAAGACATATCACTCATCCACCACATCCCTATATTTGACAAGCTTCCAGTCCCGGTCAAATCTGCTTTGATCCCAGCCCCACATCTCCGTCGTGGTGACAGCCTCCTAGCTTCGTGCGGCATGATGAAGCACGAAGCGCTCCCAGAAAATAGACCAAGAAAGGGTAGTGCAATGAATTAAGTTGTTTTTGTTGAGGACTTGAGTGTTGTGGCATTCTAGTAGGAAGAAATGGTAGTAGGAAGAAATGGGGATATCAACATGAAAAGCTATGCTTTGAACTATGGGATGGAAAGTCCAAATTTGGAGACAGCCCCAGCTGAGTCAGTAGGGATGATGATCAAAAAATCAAAAAACGATGGGAAATCAGAGCACCATAAAACCCAAAGCTGCGAATAAACAAGTTTCCCCAAACAGCATGGCACCCTCATTGGCTGGATTTGGCTGGCATAATGAGGTGGTTCCACATCCATAAACATGTCCGTGCACATCTATATATGTATTTTGCTGGCATTCCTGCTTGGATCAAGGAAGGCGCTGACAATCCAAGCAAAACAATCGTGATTGTTTATTTCCCAGTTATTTCCAACCTGCTATAAAAATCAACAATCCCCACTCCGCTTGTTTTTTCGGGGGCTCCTTCTTTTAACTCCACCTCCCCAACAGAGCCGGACCCATTGGCCTCACAAGAGCAATGGAGGCACCCAGCATTGAAGTAGCTCGCGCTGTGTACGTTGCGCCTACTGCGTAAAGCTTAGCAGTTCTGAATGGTTGGATGATGTCGGATGAACACTGCACAAGTCTGGAAACGCCTTCAACTCCCCAAAGAAATGTGGCTTTTCAATATCTACTACACTCCCCGAATTGAACGGACATTCACAGGAGCCACCTCTTACTTTTGGAATCGGAAAGGACTGTTGCGAGTGGTGAACTGTAAAGGTTTTTGGGGATCAAACAGTCCGTTTTGGCTGTTGACTACCACATGCCTTTTCGTATTGAATGTGTTTGATCTTTGGCGATGTTCCCCAATCAATCTGCCTCTCCCTCTCTCAATATATGTTGTATATATATATATGATACTACCAATACTACAATTATGTGTATATAAAAATATAAAGGATAAATGTAATATTCATATATATATATATTGTTAAGTAACAACATTGTCCAACACACAATTCGTGTACAGTTCAACAGCTGCTGGATGTCACTGTCAACATTATGGATCAACAGGCCTTGAGCCTGAAGCTATCCTGAGACTGTTTGCCAACAGTACAAAAGAGTGAGAGCGCACAGCATCAGCTGCAACATTGATTCAACAGAGCTGCCTGAATCTTTTCATGGTAGCGGAGCAGTGATCCTGGAAGCATCCAGATGAGCTCCAACAGGCAGAGGGCTTGATCCCAGAACACTGGGGGACTCTCAACAACAGCTGGAGCAACAAAGGGTAGCAGCCCAACACCACCACTGCAACGACAAGGTAAAGAAACAAACTCAACAACAAGGTGCGCAGGAAGAGGGCTTGATCCCAACTATACAGTGTGGGGGACCCTCAACAACAAGGATGGCGACGGCACATGAGATAGGATCGCCAACAGCAGGAGAAACACAAGCAGAAGCCCTAGGATCAACACACAGGCTGAAGTTGAAACCTCCAACATACGATGGAAACTACGCAACATTCGAGGAATGGAAGTACAAATTCTCAGCATACATGGGCCTACAGGACAACATCTTTCCACAACTGCTTTCAAGAGCAGAAAGAGCAACAACAGTGCTCACAGATGCAGAGCTGCTCGGTGCAGCCTCAACAATAGAGCAAGGAGAGAAATGGACACAACTTTGCAACAACCTCAAATACATCCTTATCAACATCACCAGCGGTTCAGCAGCAACAGTTTGCAGACAATACCAAGACGCAATGGGCCTAGAGGTCTACAGGCAACTGTGCAACAGGTTTGCAATACCTGTTGGAACAAGAAGCATAGGCTACCTCACAAAACTACTCAAGCCAACTTTCGACATCAACAACTTTGAGGAGTCCTTCTCAACATGGGAATTTGAGCTTGCACGTTACGAGCGTGACAACAATGCACAACTACCAGACCAAGTGAAGATAGCAGTTCTCATGAATGAGACAACAGGACCACTCCAACAACACTTACACCTCAATGCCAGCGCAACACCAACATATGCTGAAGTGAGGACAACAATCATGGAGTACTACAGAACCACAACTGCGTTCTCAAGACTTCAACAACAGTCGTCTTCAGCAGTCAGCAGCAACTTAGGAGGAGGCCCAGCTCCAATGGATATTGGAGCAACATATAAAGGCAAGGAAAAGGAAAAGGAAAGAGCAAAGGAAAAGGATTCAACAAAGGAGGTCACAAAGGAAAAGGATACCACCAAGGAAAAGGCTACGGAGGCTACGGCAGTTACAACAAAGGAAAGGGCAAAGGAAAACAACAGCAATGGTATCAGCCAAAAGGAGTAGAGAAAGGAAACAAAGGAAAGTCGAAAGGAGTTCACAACAAAGGAAAAGGAAAGAATCCAACAGCAATATGCTACAGATGTGGTCAACAAGGCCACTTGGCAAAGGATTGCCGAACAGCGGTGTACAACATTGCAGAGACACCACAGGAACAGAACCAGGATGGAACATCCCAATGGTATGACCCAAACAGTGGGTACGACAACTACTGGTACAGCAACGACCAGTCAGGCAACTACAACATCCAGCCAGTACAACAACAACAACAACAACAACAACTAGCTTTGCCAGCGCCACAAACCAACACGCAGACACCAACAATACAACTTGTGGGAGCACTGGGCCATCAGGCAGCAAGTGCCCACAATGAAGCAACCACCACAGCTCAAGCAGTGCAGCAGCAGAGAGGAGACAACGAGGTGGACGTTATGATCGACAGTGGAGCAGCAACACACGTTTGTCCAACATGGTTTGCACCAGACACACCACTGTATCCACTACAACAAGGACAAGGACCTAGGTTGAGGACAGCAACAGATGAGGATATCCCAGTGCATGGCTACAAATGGGTGTACATGCACAACACCAACAAGCAAACAATAGTTGTTCCCTTCTATGTGTGTGATGTGACGCAACCCATCATGTCAGTAACAAGACTGGCAGAACAAGGGTTCAACACACAACTTAACGAAACACCAACAATCACACACACCAAGGGATTCAACTCAGCACTCAAACAACGAGAAGGCCTATACTTCTTGCCAGTTGTGCTGATCACACTTCCAGCCAACTTGAGGCTTGAAGTCAACCAGACAGCAGAAGGAACAACAGCAAGAATAGCACCAGTCACACTGATTCCAACAGGCATGGAAGTCCTTCGCAACAAGAATGACCTATGGACATTCAACAGCCAAGGTTTCTTGGTAAGAGTCCACAGGACAACACGCAAGGCATTGTTCATGCCAGACAGCAGATGTCCAGTTCCAACAGAAAGGTTGGAGAACTACAGAAGAACAATCATACAAAGACCAAACAACAACACAGAGGTCATGGAAGAAGCATACCAAGACCTCGACAAGAAGCAACAGAAGAGGATCATACAAGGAAACAACTGGACAGGAGAAACATGGCTCAAAGTGAAACGTGGAACAGCACTTCCAGGCAACATACCACCACAACCAGCACTTCCACCAGCTAAAGAGCCAGCGACACCATCTCAACAAACCACAGTTGACCAACCACAAGCACCAATGTATCGACACAATGTGAAGAAGCCTCTCACAGAGGTAAGGCCAACAGACCAAGCAATGACCACAACGCAGCCATATCAAACAGCAATTCCACATCCAAAGGAAGTCAGTCCAACACAGGACTATTGGATCAAAGAAGGTCCATATTGGAAACGTGTGCATGTCCAACCAAGAAGGGACATGTACATTCCACAACAAACAGATGATGGACCAGACGTGACAAGACTGACAGCGTGGAGACAAACAATGGTGAAACCAACAAGTGGCAACAGAGGATATAGAATAGATGATGGCTGGACGACAAAGAGGAAAGCAACACTCGACATAGAGTGGACAGGCTCAACAAACTTTGAAGAAAACGCATCATACAAAGATGAGTTCATCACAGATGAGCCAGAGGAGCAACAAGAAGCCAAGAGAGCAAAAGGAGTGCCAACACCACAACAACCAACAGAACATGAAAGAAGAGAACACGAGCTCACACACCTTCCCTACAGAAGCTGGTGTCCAACATGTGTACAAAGCAAAGGAAGACAGGACAACCATCCAAAGCAAACAAGCAAAACACCAGTGATCCAAGTGGATCTGATGTACTACAAAGTCTTAGGAGAGAAGCAGACAACATCAGCCCTCACAGCAGTGGACGTTGAAACAGGCATGTGTATGGCAGTCCAACTTGAGAACAAGACACAACACGTACAATACCTGTCAGTCTGCCTTCAACAATTCCTGATGGAATGTGGCAGAACACAATCAATCCTCAACAACACCGTTCTTCAGTCAGATCAAGAAGATTTCATCATCTCCTTGCTCAAGATGGTGGCAACAGCCATGGGCAGCAACATAGCAGTCAGGCAAGCACCAGCCTACACATCACAAGCACAAGGAAGCGTTGAACGTTTCCACAGAACATTGATGGGCCAAGTCAGAGCTCTCAAACTCCAACTGGAGACCAACTATGGCATCAAGCTCAACAGCAAGCATCCCATCATGCCGTGGCTTGTCAAACACGCAGCATACCTGCTCAACAGGTATTCCATCCACTCAGATGGAAACACAAGCTACTATAGACGATGGGGTAAAGAACACAAAACACCAATATGTGAATTTGGTGAAACAGTTCTTTACATGCTACCAACAGCAAAGCAGATGCCAAAGATGGAAGCAAGGTTCTACCCAGCCATTTGGCTAGGTAAGGACAACTCAACAAACGAGAACATACTTGGCATCAGCAACAAAGTGGTCAAAGCAAGGACCATAAGAAGACAAATAAAGCCAGACAAGTACAACAAGCAGTTGGTGGACATCATCAACTCTTCGCCAGCCATGATACCACCAACAACACCAAGCATTGTGGTACTACCACAAACTGCTGCAGCAAAGCAGCAGACAACAACAAGTACACAGACTCAGCAGAGTCCACAACCAAAAGCCTTGGTACAACCACACATTACACCACCACCAGCACTTACAGACCTTCCAATGGCAACAGTGCCAGCAACTCAGCCAGCAAGGCAGCCAATTCCATTGCCGACACAAGGCAAAAGAGAAGTAGCAGATGAGATCACACAAGGCAGCTCACCAAAGCAAGCAAGAACAACCGAGAGAGCCACAGCAGCAAGCAGACCTGAGACAGCTCAGGAGCCACCAACAACAAGGATGAGGATATCACAAGTCACAGTCACAACAAAGAAAGGACAGAAGATAGAAGCAACATCAAATGAGGATGAGCAGGAGATCAAAGCAGAAAAGATTCTCCTGGAACCTTGGGTGAGCAACACCGAAGGTTTAGACAAAGAACAAACAACAGAAGGAATGAAGCAAGAGATTAAGCCAATGAAGGAACAAGGAGTGTACACAGAAGTACACATAAGTCAACTCACACCAGAGCAACGCAAGAAGATCATCAAGTCAAGATGGGTTCTTCGACAGAAAGGCAACACAGTTCGAGCACGAATTGTAGCAAAGGGCTACACAGAGGAGATCAATGACAACGACGA